CTTTACGTGCTCTCCGAGGCACGGGGGTGAAACACCGCCAACTTCCCAACTCCGGGCTGTTACTGAGACTTACTATACAGAAAGATTCAATAACTAAACTTGGCCCGACCCGGGACTCGAACCCATATAAATAAAGAAAATTGATTGTGAAATAATAAAATTCAAGTTATTCTTTCATTATCATCATAAAGTACGTTTTTTACATCACCACTTTTAAAAATGTTGTTTGAAAATAGTAACAGCGTTCTTTATTGAGGCATAACACGAATATATTTTCGGTTTTCTGTTAAATAAAAAAAAATGCGAAATCGTAAGTCAATTTTTTTTAAATATTTAAAAATTCTACTTTATTTTTTAATTTATTGTAGTAGTTCTAGAAGACTAATCATCATTTGCTCATTTACATGCTTACTTTATTTAGTGATATAGGGTACACGTAAACTTTTATGTACATCTTACAAATAAAACAATATTTGACATTCAAAAAATAAAATTCGTAATAACTTGCCACAGAAAGATCGTAGAATAACGAATATAGGAAAGAATAATATATAATCAACGTACGTAAAATCACATACAAGCTATCATATGACGTCTTATAATTTTGATATCGTGCGTAAAGATGGCGATTTCTAAAAATTACAGGGCAAATGATGTTACGGAATTCATCATAACATTGAAACTTCAGTTTCGCGTGGCACGCTATATTTCACCTTGGCGGGTGATTTTATCTACACTTTTATTATATTTACTACTAGCAGAACCCGCGGCTTCGCTCGCGCTACAACTGCAAAAAAACTTAAAAGATAGGTTCTATACCGACTTTCATCCCCTATTTTACTCGCATATGGGATGAATTTCGAGAAATGCTAAAACCCGTACTTATTTAATTGTATTGAGAGCGGCTATAATACCAATTTTCAAGTTATTCTGATCATAAATTATTTTTTGGGTTGCATTATAACCGGTTTTCTCGTGGGAATTAGGTAATCTCCCGCAATAAAAAGTAGCCTATGTCACTCTCAAGCCCTCCACCACCTTCACCGTAAGGCAAGTGGTAATCATATTAAGCATGATTCGCATATGAAAATATCAGAAGTGCGAGATCCGGGATTTGAACCCGTTTCACTCGGTTTTCCAAGCGAGCGCGACCACTTTACCTTTACGACCGAGCGTTACCACTGGGCTACCACTGCCTACCATACATTATGTACTTGCTATATATTGTCACATATTATATGAAATTAGTGCGTCATAAAAAAAAATTAAAATGTTATTATAAATATACGCTACCAAAGTAAATATGTTAAATTACATTAATAATTCGCTGCTTAATTTCATATTAAAAACTGTAATTTATAATAGTTTATTATGAATAACGAAACCGTCTTTCAATTTTCATACAATTTTTTTATAATAATATACATAATAAATAAAATTATTTTTCAATCAAAATTTAGCACGTCCCTGTTAAACTAAAATTTCGTTTCTTAAAGCTGTTTGTAATGAGATAATATTTAATTATATTTTTATAAGAATACAAGTAAAAAATTAAATCAAAGGTAACAGGTATATGCCCATATAGTACATATATTTTATAGATCCATATTTAAAGTTTCACAACTCTCTGAAACCCTGAAACAAATGTTCCGAAATTATTGGACTGTTAAAAAATATTTAATAGTGATGCGTCTGAAGACTTACAATGACAAAACAAATAAGTATAAAAAAAACTCGGCCATGCTTCTGTATAGTAAAGTAAAAACGTAATTAGAATATACATAATAGATACCTAGTACAAGTCGTACCACTTAGTAATTTTCTACATATAAACCACTTTACGGCCCTCGTAATGGTGGATTTGCATCAGTAAAGAAGAAAGAAGTCACCTTCGCGTGCTTTATTACTTTCATATGGTAGGTACACTGTACATCACAAAGACGCTAAAGGTCTAAGATACAGCAAGGTCATATCATATGTAAATCGAATGTCCCACACTATTGTAACATTACATTTGTAATTACAAGCAAATGTAATTTACTTACAATCAAATATACAATCTAATTATTTTATCTATATATGATACTTATATTATATCTACCTAAATACTAGTGTACTTATAAACAAAGCGAAGTAGTAAAAAATGTGTTACGTTTAATATATCACTATTTACTTTATTTACTTGTAGCTTGAAGACGCATATATCAACGAACCAACCAAATTATTCCCCTGACACTGAACCCCTTGAAAAATGTATTTGTATGTATTCAGCATTTTTTAACGTCCCACTACTGAGTGCGGCCGTCCCTTAACTCCCTATATTACCCTTCCTCCATTTTTAAAATAAAGATGAAAAAACCAAGAATAACACTTTAGCATTTATAATAATTTATGCTAAATTAAACAAATTGTATTCAGCCCTTTTCAACGTCCCACTGCTGGGCACGGGCCTCTCTTCAATACGAGGGGGATCAGGCCGTAGTCCACCACGCTGGCCAAGTGCAGGTTGGCGGACTTCACATGTCTTTCGAAAACTTGCTAGGTTCTCTCAGACATGCAAGTTTCCTCACAATGTTTTCCTTCACCGTAAAGCAAGTGGTAATCATATTAGAAATGATTCGCACATGAAAATATCAGAGGTGCGAGCCCCGGGATTTGAACCCGCTCACTTGGTTTTTCAAGCGAGCGCGTTACATAGAATAAACAAGGGATATTTAAAAGAATATTTACAAAAATGAAAAACCAGACTGTGTAAAAAGCGAACTAAAAAGAAGAGAACAAGTGTAGGAAGGAGCATAATGTTCTAAAGTCGGAGATATACACACCTGCAGTTATTATAAAACATGTACACACGTTTTTTTTTTTGTAAGTATTTGTTTTATTTACAGCTTTTTGATTTTGGTCAGTTAGACATTTTTAGTTCTATTTAACAATTTCTTATCCTAAATTACTTTTAAATATATAAATTTTGTATATTTTTGTTATTGCCTTTCAAAAAACTGTATTTTGATACCCCACTTGATTGATTCGGACGATTTTTTTTTCAAGTCACAAATAATAATTGGGGCCTAGGATCCGCCATTTTGATTTTTAATGATATCTATATATCCTATGACACTCGCATTATTAAAACGAATCGAAAGTCATATGGATCATCAAAATCGGTTTTGCCATTATTTAGTCATTGAGAGGGAACATAGAATCGGACATACATACAAGTCAAACACATAACCCTCCTTTGGGCTTCGCCGCAGTCGGGTAATTATTTAATGGCCATATTAAACTCCACTGCACCACAGCGGTCATATCTTATATGATTAATTCTAAATATATATTTCAGTAAATATTAAGCAATCATTTTGATGATAATTAATAGCTCATATTCAAGTAATGTATACAAATATTGAAACTTCTACCGAATTCACAATTTCGTATTATCATATTATGTTAATTAATATACTAAACATAATCAAATCCAACTCTGTAATTCAGCTGTCAATAACCAGTGTCGGTTTCTAATGGGATAAACTTGTAACGAGGCTGCATTCAGGAGAACAAAAGGCAGATTGCGTTTGCTTTGATCCTATTTATTTATCAACCGACTTCAAAAAAGAGGAGGTTCTCAATTCGACTGTATGTTTTTTTTTTTATTAAGATTCATCTATCTATCTATCTATCTATTCACCAGTGGTAATTACATTATTACAGTAAAAAATATGCTATGTTACAAAGTTCTTATTGCTAAATGCATAACCTTTTAAGGTGAATACCGCATGCAAAAATAGGCGTGAAATAGTTTTATACAAAAACAACAATTCTATGACCTTAAGAAATTAAATAAAGCAAGCAAATTAAACCAATAAACAAATCTACCACATAAATCGAGATATACTTAACAAATCAAGAATATTTTTTATTTATTTATTAACTATTTGTATCAATATGTAACTTTTATTGTGAACGAGCTATTTTTTCTGTTCATCTAAATCAAATTTACAGTGACTCGGTCAGTCTAACGTGATTGCTTTACGACATATATATCTAAATGGTCAGTTTTATGTTATGTTTAATACATATAACTATAATGTTTCTAATTCCAAGGATCGATAACGGAGGATACCAAGAAGAAAATACCAGAATTTTTTTTACAAAAAAACTTTTTTCGTAATAAAATAAAATTATAAAAGCACAAACAAGATGTCAAACTTAGTCCAGCTAATTATATTTTTAAAAATACTAAGAAACACGCTTCTAAGCAACTTTAATGTATGGGACACGTCAAAACAAACTAAATGAGGTCAAGTTTGAAGTTTCTTATAGTAACATTTACAGTGGACCCCACTGTAAATGTATTCCATTATCGGATTACCTTGATGTATGTGTTATGCGGATTTTTACAAAATTACAATTCTATACGAACATTAGAACTAGATTATATCGACTTCTATACATATAATAAAATTGTAAATATTTTTGTAAAATCTTATCGAAATAAACATTATTATCGATACAGAGGCTGAATCTAGAGTTTTTAGAAATTTTGTCCGTCTGTCTGTCTGTCTGTCTGTCTGTTACCGCATCACAGAAAACCACTGGAGGGATATTGATGAAATTTATTATGGTGATAGCTGGTTATCCGGGTCCAAAATATAGAATACTTTTTACCGCTAGAAAATATCTCATTTCTGAGAAAAAATACAAAAACTGCGATGTAAGAAAGACTAATACGTACAAACTAAGAATTTGGTTTTTCGTCATCTGAACGCAGGCGGAGCAGCGGGCAATGCTAGTCCAATATAAATTCTTAGGTAGTTACGAGGAAAAATAATAAGAATTTTAATAAAAAAAATTTGGTAGTCTCTTAACTATGTATCTGTATTTGAAATGCCGATTAAACGAGTATAAGGTTCAAATAAGACAAGAATAGACATCGTTAGGATCAGGGGGGTGAGGGGGCGAGGTGGGGGGCGAGAGGGGGGGCGAATATTCTTAACGACCCAATGGATAAGGATCCTATTATAAGGTCGGTTTCAAAATAAATCAATTGACGCCAGAAACAATAGATTTGAATTATAAAATTAATTATATTTGTAGATAAAATGTCTTTCATTGACAACTGATTAACTTGTTACTCATTACATTCATTCTGTACCATTGTTCAATCAACGATAATTCTATCGTACCTTTTATACTTCTACCGCATGTAGAGCTTTTTTGTTCGAGCTTTGTAGTATTTCTCTATAAAATCAGAATAATGAGTATAGATAGATATCCTACTGTCTCTAATTCTGTCAATCTAGTAAACCTAAAAATAATACTCAATAACATGTCAGCTTACCACATGTCCCTACGTCGTATAAAGTGATTTAGTACGAGACTCTGCAGCTACTTTGATGTTTGGAAAATGAAATTGATGGTTCAAAGCTGAAAACTAATTTATTAACAGTAGCCAGAATTTTTACTATATTTATATTACTAGCAGCTTACCCTCGAATCGCTCGGGTTCGCCTCTAGGAAAACAAAAACAAACCGTACATTTTCCGGGATAAAAAGTAGCCTATGTGTTATTCCAGACTATAATCTATCTCAGTGCCAAATTTCATCCAGGTCCGTTCAGCCGTTCTGGCGTGAAAGCGTAACAAACATCCATACAAACTTTCGCGTTTATAATATTAAGTAAGGATTAGTATAGAAGTACAGATATTCAATCTTCATATTTTATGGTACTTTATAAGTACCGAGAAGGTCTGTCTGTTTTACTTATTGGAACCGCTATAATATTAATGTGCAATAAACGATGGAACGACAACTCTTCAAATTGAGGTTAAACAAATAACCCAGTAAGAACTTTATTTCTAATTTATACTGAAATAAAAAATTCAAAATCATTCAACAAAATCCACCTGTTCAAACATTCGGGATAAAAGTAGCTCGCTGTTTTAACGGTGCACGTTTTACATAAGGCGAAATTATGTTAACACTGAGCTATACCCTGCACTACAAAATTATTCATAGATTTAAAAAAAAATGTAGATTTGCAATACTTTTACTTACAACAAATAATAACAAATGAAAATATTTTAAAATTTCAGAATATTTTATACAAATTAGTTGTATAAATTAGATAGTTTTAGCATTAAGATTTTGGCGTAAACTTTATGAAACTTTCTTCTTCAATATAGAGAAAGATTTTGCTTTTTATGTACATTCCTTTGCGTATAATAAAACGTATTATATTTAGTTTTTTCTATCTAATTTTACTAAACATATAGAATAATCCCAATCGTGTAAGATATGTCTATACAAACATAATTCGGATACTTACCCAGACCACGGTAATGTCATACATAAACTTGTTAGCTCCTTTAGAAGCATATTGCTATTGGCTTGAGAAAAAGACTTTTAGAAACACGTATCTCAATTTTAAAGATACCACACACGCTTATGTGGATTCAATTTTTTTATGCTACAGATATGTACATGTATCAAGAGAGACAGCCACCCCTATATTTTTTTTATAATTTGACTACAGAATTATGTAAAGGTTAACATGAGAAACAATATATCTATCAACAATATAGCTCCAATAGTTTTTGAGTAAAATTACTGTGTGTACATACGAACAGACGGACATGATGAAATTATACGGGTCCCGTTTCTGCCTTTGCCTAAGAAACTCTAATAAAAATTATCTATGGCGGCGGCAAACGTGCTCATACTGTTGTGTTGTATGTGCTTATGTGCATCTAATTGTTGCGTAAGACAGTTGTATAGAGGTAATATATGTGCCCAGGCCTACTTTAAAGCTGTTTGGGCAAATATATAATTATTAAAATTATTCAGATATACCTAATTTTCTTTAATTTAATAAAAGGTCAATGCTGTTAGGTTTTTTTAATAATATGATTTATTTATAAGCATTGTCGTCTATTCAATAAGTTTCATTTCATTATGCAACCTAGTAGAAACAGTAGGTACTTTTAATTTATGCTGAAATAAAAAAAAAAACAAATACATTCAACAAAATTTAATCCCTCCATGACCGCGGACACGCCGGCGTATCAGCTAACAATAGATTTCTTAGAATTTTAAAATTTACCTGGAGGTGTTAAAATAATTTTTATGTGTCTTCTTTACCTTTCGCTCGTACAATATTCTTCATTTAACCTTCTAGAGCTTATCCATGACCTAAACTGAATTCCCATTGTTGTTGTTAACTGGCCTGGTAAGGGGTATAATATTATATTTCACGTAACATATTGCCTATGGCTAATGCTTATTTGATATACTTAAACCTATTACCATTTTTTAAAAATGTCAACCTTTCTATCTTTTTTAACCAATAGAAACCAATAGAGTTTAAATTTAATATTCGTAAACAAGTTTTGATATGATTGATGATATTGAAGAATTGTTCAAAATGTTCGTAAAATTAATATGTACTTTAATACTTTATTAGATTTTTTTATTTTTTTTTTGTTTCTCTGGCTGTTTGTCTGTTTGTACGGGCTAATCTCCAAATCTATTAAACAGATTTAAATGAAATTTCGAATGGTGGTACGTTATATCCCCGGGCAACATCTTAGATACTTTTCACTTTGGAAAATTAAAGAGTTCCCGTGGGATAGTTAAAAAACTATACTAACTTATATAGCTTATACACAACAACTTATGCACCTAATTTAGTAAAATTTGGCATGCTGATACCTTATATTGTCGGTCAAACAACAGGTTGCTTTTCATATCGGAAAAATGAACTGTTCCCGTGGGATAGGTCTGTTTGCGTTTTCTTAGAGGCGAACCGGAGCAAAGCGAGGGTGAGCCGCTAGTTTATAATATTTACACAGATACAGATGTAGCTTAAATTCAATTTTGATAGATTGTTTCGCACTTTAAAAATTAATACAATTCAATTAAAAATAATCCTAGTAATTGAGAATCGAGTTTATTTACACAACAAAAGCGATGCGTGTATAGTGGCAATTGTTTCATAAAATGTGTTGATTTATTACATTTTTTATTTTCTTACAAAGCATTTTCCTTTCATAATAATAGTTTAAGAAAATAAACAAACGTCACAACGGTTTCGAGGAATAAATATGATATCTCATGACCCACACTCTGAGTCAGAGGAAAGCTTTGGCAATGATTATTACTCATGTTTATCGCTACCGGGATAACTCATCGTCCGTGTTCCTCTGTCTCCTGACGCATGCCAGTTATTTTCAGCGCCGGGCAGTGCACCTACCGAGTGTTGGTCTTTGTGATAGTCTTTTTTGGATACTTATTTACATACCACTCTCTTGCTACTCCATTTTCAGATTCCATTAATGTTATCTGATGACAGTTTTAGGGCAAGTATTTTTGAACGCATTTATAATCTAACCAACAACATACATAAATATTTCATAATATTCTGTTCATTTCAGTGATTTAATCGAAATTATACTCCGTTTACATTAACTAGATATATCTTATATCGATTATGTTATTATGTTAGACATGTATAGTTTTAGGCAAACGGCAATATTATTTAATGCCTTAAATTTAGACAAAATTGCAATATATCTGCATTATCAAGGTCATTTGAAATATATTTCATCGGTACTTCTCGATCATAATCTCAAACATTTGTACCATAATTAATTACCTGGATGTCACAATCAGGATAATTTATTTTTAATTAGTGATAGCGAGGGAATAAATGCGGTATTTTAGCCAAGTCGCAGGCGCAGACGCATGGCTACATACCGATGACCGCCCACGCAAAGCTCCGGACGAAACAAAACTACACCGCCCGCCCGTCAGTATACTCTCAGTCTCGACTAAAGTAACTTCTCAGACAATAGTCAATTACCAATAGGAACTTAATATTATTATCATATTACCGTGCGTGTAGTGCAGGTGTATTACCGTCAGGTAATTTCTTGATTTTTCTTAATATTACGAGTCTCGTATTTTGTTTGTTAAGTATTCTTAATTGGTATAACATTGCTTTTCGGTAAATAATTACCCCAAAAATTAATTTTGTTATTATTTATATTAACATATTTTACTTAATTATGAAACGATATAGCTGTGGCAAGAAAAGTTAGTTTTTAAAGATAATAAAAAACTTAACATTATTTATTACTTTAATAAGAAATAGTTTAAGTACATTATAAAAATAATTTTTCATGTAATTATTTTATTTAAACGTAATATTTTCTTTACTATTTATTACTACCAGCACAAATTTTTTTTTGTTAGTAATTATAACTGGTCTTGAAAGCTAATTTCGTTTGTTGGAAAGAATGTTTTTTTTTTAATGCTCAAAGCATTCATAAAATAAGAAATCCCATTTAATACAAGTAAGGCCGTCGTTCCACAAAGTTTTTGAACAAAGCTAAACGGCATGCAGACACTATGCGCCTGGCTAATAGCCAACCATCACCATAAATTTTTCGCTTACTAACATTTCTAATGTAAATGTTGACTTTAAAGTTATAAATACAATGTTTATTTAAATTCATTTTTAGGCTTACCTTACATCTTAAGAAAAGTAACAGTTAAAAAATGTCTGAAAACAAGACCCTTGAAGCTGGTCAAATGGTCGTCAAGAAGACCATGGATGAGATAATGCAACAAAGACAAACAACAGAAAAAGTTACAATTCAAGCTAGACAAGAATTTCGTGAGCACTATCAAGAGAGCTACGAGGAAGAATTTGAAGAAGAAACATTTATCGATCAATTTGGGAACGCTACTACGAAGAGATTGGAATCTAGCAGCGAAAGCAAGGAACACTCTAAAAGCGCAGATGTAAAAGTTAAAGCAACAGGGCTTAATGCAGAGCAAGTCAAAGCTCTTACAGATTGCGCAAACGAAGCCGGACAGTTGGCACTCGACTCCAAACCTGCCAACTGAATAATGTAATCATTTAAAATATTATTGTCATTATTATTAAATCTAACACGATTCATGTATATAGTAAACTATACACATATAGTTAACTATATAACTATTACAATCCATGATAACGTATAATAGTTGTTCGAGCTACGCATTTACTCTTTGAAATTTGCTATCCTTTTTTCTATTACTTTATTTATATTTAATGTCTATATCTTAAAAAATTAAGCTTAATTCAATCGTTTTGTTCCAGGTGCCCTTTTTTGTGCGCGAGGTGATTAAAAAGTGATAAAGACTGTGTCCAGTGTTCCATTCTATATATTTATATGTATATGCATTAAATTTGAAATTGTAATTCTTGCAATAAATGTATAGTTAAAAAGAAAAAATGTTTTTTTAAAGAGTGTTGTGTTTGTTTCTTAAAAGGTACTAATATACGTGATATTATTTGACACTATTAAAATGGAGGAAGAGGAAGATGAACGAAAAAACAGGCGGCCTAAGCTCGCTGCTATTAGTTCTTTAAACGCTCGAATTGTCCATTCCTCGCTTGAGGAGGGTTTTATCCGGCAGCAAGTCTCGTCCGAGTCAAATGACGTTCATACATGTTCAAGTATTTCAACAGCCCAATACAGCGACAGAAGTTTCGTATCAAAGGCGAGTACATTCTCGAGAAGCGGAACATCGAGTTCTAGTCAGGAAGAATGCGAGGTAGCTCAAACAACAGTGACAAGTGGCCAATATTTGGCAGCTGCCCGAGTTGAAACAGCGCGATCTATGGAGAGTCTTCGGCCTAGTAAAGATACGTCGCCGGCGCGCCCTGCGAGCTCTTGCACCTCAGTTCGTGTTCATCGTAGTTCATTTTTAACAGCAAGCGAACGAGATGTTAGAGAAACACGGGGTGCGCCGGCGCGTAGAGCTTTGTCAGGTGAAGACATGGGGACCTCGGCAGAGAAGAGACGAGGCTTGTTTGCAAGTACAGAACGACGAGCGTTACAGCAGTTAAGCTTACCACCACCTGAACGTCGCTTAACAATATTAAGCCCTCACAGTCCAATGGCATCGGCAGAATTGCAGTGGCCTATTCCTTCTGGTATTCGTGGCCGGCGGAAGAAAGGGATGGTCCTCCCAAAATTGATACTGCCTCGCAGTGATTCTGATGGCTCGGATGTATTTTTTGAAAGGTGGTTTTTTATATATATTTTAATAATAATCTTTAATTATAGTTTTATAAGCATTAGGGTTGGTCAATCTTATAGATTATAAATCACACAATTAAAAAAAATACATTCTTTATTAGAATTAAAACATCACAAATGTTTTTCTAATAAAAAAGATACAACGTTGTCTAAAAATAAAAAGGTATTTTTATATAGAATTCTAATTAAATAATATTATTTTGGGAAAAATTATAAATAATATACACGAGGAATATTTTGTTAGTTTTTTTTTTAGTAAAAAAATCAATGCAATCATTATTTAGAACATGAATTTTCTTATAACTTTCTAATTAATCTTGTGTTTCGTGTTATATGAATAATATAAACTCCTTTTTTATGTACTTTTATGTAGTAAATATTTGGAGCTTTTCCAAATCATTTCTTAGTAGGCATGTAGATCATATACCGATTCCACATCAAAAATAACTCATACTCATTGTTACCGTGAAGCAAATGCGAAACGAAAATAAATCTTGATTATTTTAGAGGCTGCCATTTGATTTACGCCATCTTATTCGCAGATTGACCTTTTCACTGCCAAATAAAATAAGATCTTTTGATAAAGGTATTTGAGATAATTTACTGTATTAACTATATGATTACAAGTATAACTAATTGAGAGTATATTTAACTTTAGCTTCAAAATATTAATTGCTATAAGAAGCGATCATCACGTTTTATCTCATCCAAAATTCTTATTTTTATTTTATTTTATTTATTAGGAAGCCTACGTTATATACTAAGAATACATTTTTTAACTTATTATAGTCATACATAAGAAAGTGTTACAAAGTATATCACAATTACAGGCTAACTTAACATGTATATAATAATTGTTAAACTAAGAAAAATGTTTTTGTTGTTGCTCACTTATGTAACAAAAAAAATATAAGAAATGAAAAAACTCTAACATTTAAATAACAAAATATCCTTGTAAAAAAAAAGCTTTAACAAAAATATAACTAAATTTTGATATTACATAAATCGTAAATACATAGGTAGAAAACAATGTTTATACAAACCATGACCAAATCAAATAATAAAAAAGAAATGGGGAAAAATATAAAACTAAGATAATAATTGACTATGTAAAAGGTATTAGGGGTTCTTATCTACAAATAATATTAAATTTAGTTTTATATATGCATAGTACTTTTTTTATTATATTGGAAAATGCATTTACGATGCCCTGACAGCATGCCTGCCAAAGCAAACCACAACAGCCATGGGGTTTCTCCAAGGGTCCACTCTGCTATCAGAGAAGTATCAGGAGCAACCCGCATGGCACACCGCTCACCGAGATGGGCCACCTTCCAGTGCGTTTCTTGATATCAACCGACTAAATAGCCAGAAGCCAATGAGCCCTTACACCACGACGAGGTGAACGCACATTGGAGGGAGGTTAGATATATAAATAGTACCTACAAGCACCTCCAAGATTTTAGGTATGGCGATATTTGATTGTATAGGGATTTATTTTGCAGATAAAATCCTTAAAGAAGTTAGAAATTACAGAACAGATTTGCATAAAAACCAGTTAAGTCTGCAATGAATTTACCTAATCGTATTGAACATGAAGTGCTATTGACATATGCTTGTAGCATCTGCCTGCAGCTACGCGGGGCTGTGTATATCTAATTAGTCCGTAAACTCTGAGAATAATTCGTAAAATCTGCACTAAACGAAACATAAATGCTTCTACTTTAACTACTGTATGATGTTGCTATATTAAAAAAAATATAACTTTCAGTAAAAATTATGGACATTAAAGTTATAAACGCACGTAATATTGCTAGAGAAATAAGAAGATCCAATAAGAATTTACCCAGCCTTTCTCGAATTCATACGAGCTTATAAAGATTAAACTATATAGACGGTCACAAAAATATTAAAAGCTTTAGATTTTACTTCGATTCTATATATAACATCCCTGACGTACTATGCAGCGTACAACTTTGGATTATTTTCCTTTTCACATATTTTTCCTTAGGAATTTCTATTGATCTGAAGTATCTATTTATATATCACTACAGACTCTTGTTTTCTACTATGTTGAGGCAATACGGTTACGGTGATCAACGCTCCGCTTTGTTGCTGAAATACACATGCATAACCAATTGAAAAATTAAGTCCGTGCATAAATTGAACTCGTGACCTCCGCTGTAGTACACAGTGTCACACTCAGACACAATAGCTGTTAAAAACACAATTATGATAATTCGATATTAAAAAGTAAATACTAAGTAAAATTTCTATATCATTTACAAAATATTGTTGCAAGAAATTGATATTCTCAATAAATTCTGTTAAATACCATTATGTATACAAACTTTTCGTTTATATAATAATTTTCATAATGATAAGCTATTTATATGTCGAGATACGTAAGCCCTTCAGTGAAATGCAGATATAATGGATAAAATACATTATATTTACGTTTACTATACTCTCTAGCGAGTTATCAATTAGCTGATAGCTTATCTTGTTTATACTTGTAATATCACTATGAATCGAATATATGTATGTATGTAATATTAGATGATGATATGATTCATGATTCATTTTATTTGAAAGGAAATCGATTTGTCACTATATCGATATCTTACTGGTTTTTTGTTGCTATAATTAACAGTTATACAACAGAATTTTTCCTTAAAAGATTTTATTTCTTAAAATCTTAAAAGCTTTTCCACGGAATACGCTTTTTTATGTACAAACATGACTTGATCGATATTTAAGAGACCTCATTCCCCGGGAAATCAAGGAGTTTATTGAACTTGGAGGTAAAAGTATATATAAAAATTTTAATAAGCGGAGCTCGAGATAAGTTAGAATACGATATGTCCATGAAAATTAAATCTAATCAGAAACAATATGAAGGTGATGGTTTAATTAACAAAACTTTTTTTTTTAATTAAACTCACATATAGATATCCTTAAACAATACTTTCTTAGATTCACGCGAATATTTGACATTAATAAACCTATTTTTTCGGATTTTTCCGCGGATTAAATATGTATATAAAAATAATAGTAATTTAAATTAATGTTTTTAATTTATAAATGTAACAATAGCTTAATATTTTGTTTTTAAATAATAGCAAACTAAATCAAAATTAATATTATTAATATATTATTTAAAATTAAAATTAACAAAGATTGTAAGGTAATATGACGACACGTTTGGCTCAGTGTGTAGTAAGTAGTAACCCTACTTGCTATGCCAGCAGTTGCGGGTTCGAATCCCGCTGGGGGCATTCATTTGTGTGATGAGCACGAATGTTTGTACTCCAGTCATGGGTGTTTATATTTATAATATGTATGTATTTAAAGTTATATATATGTAGTGTATCAAATATCTGGTATCCATAACACAAGCTTCGTAGTTTACCATGGAACTAGATGGTGCTGTGTGTTAATGTCCCAACATATTTTTTTTTAATTATTTAATTTGGTCACAATTTTTGTGTCATCATGACAGACATAGATAACAAGCATTTCAGAAGCAAAATATAAGCACGTCACGTCACTGATACTGAAAATGAATCTTCGCCTCCTTCATAAAAACGCAATTTTAATGGTATAATAATATTGATCTTTATTAATTTTATAGAGACATAAGTAACATCTTTCCCGCTATTTTAATTTCTTGTACAAATAATGAAAGTATTTCTTTAAGAGCACATCTTATCGCTTGTCTGTTATCAACTTTATAAAAAGAAGTAACTATCTATACTTCTATACTAGTATTATAAAGAGGTAAAGTATGTGAGTTTATGAGCTTGTGACGTTGTAGGGGGTAATCTTTGGATCTACTAAACCGATTTAGATGAAATTTGGTAAGAAGATAGTTTGAGGTCCTGGGAAGGACATAGGATACTTTTTATCTCGGAAATCATCCCTTAAGGGGTTAAAAATGGGGATGAAAGTTTGTATGGGGAATCAACCTAGGGACGAACCCGAGCGAATCGAGGGTGAGTCGCTTATCTACTATAAACTTCTACTGTCACAGCTACCTAGATCGACGTACGTGGGATGTGTGAAATCACTTATCTTAATACAACCCTTCCTAAACAGACAGGGGCAGACGACTTTATGACCAACGATAGATGATAAATTTGCGCCCGAACTAAATTTTGTATTGTCCCATTATAATGAGAGATTTTACTGCACTAAATTGTTAAATATGTTAATATTTAACCCTGCTACTAATAGTTTTTGTGTAATAAATCATTTCATTTTTTGTAGGAAGGTACACTCGGCCTAACCAGTTGTTGTTTTGCCGTAGGAATGAGAGATTTTCTTGTAGTAAAAATGTCCCAAAAGTTGACACGATTACTGCAAAAAAATCAGTTAAAATACGTTTAATTCTTTTTATGTGAAAAGCCAACAGATTTACAGACAAAAAAGACGAAAATTTCACCCAGCCATGAGACAGCCCATATTCTGTACACAATTCGTTACAGGCATAGTTTTAAAAAAATATTTCATGTACAAATTCGACTTTGTTACTATTATACATAGATAGATAGACGCGGTGTACCTTGCGTCCTAACGAAACAAGTTACATAGAGCTAAAAGCTATTGACTTTATTATGCTTGTTTTAGGTACTTTTAAAGTATATAAATATTAAATGTTTCTGCAAAGTATTGACTACGCTAGCAACATTTTCGAAGTATAAACAAAGCCTTTTGTTTACGTTTTGGCTAGTGTTCAGGTTAGACTAACGATTGTTAGAATTCCCGTGTGAACCTTTGTTGTTCTATAAATTAAATGATGATAGAAGTTATAATATTATTCACAAACCTTAACAATAATTATAACTTAATATTTTTACTTCATTATAAATACTGTCTAAACTTTGACGTTTCTCTTAATAAAGCCGGCCATACACGCTAAGGTGCACCTGAAAGGTGTAACTATACAGCTCTACTGTGCAGGCAAACCTGAAGTGAGTAGAGACCATACACGTAGCGGAAAACCTGTACAAACTCTCAGTTGTGCAAATCATGGTTGGTTACTGCAAATCCCATGCAAATCCCATGTCAACGTATTGGAACAACTAAAATTTGAGCCGGATGATTACCGCAACTACTTACGAATAGATAAAAATACGTATCTCAAACTGATATCAACGGTGACTCCCTTAGTTGAAAAGCAGGATACACTAATAAGAAAAGCTACATATATCGCCTCATGAATTACTAACAGTGACTTGCAACAGAGAAATAAACATATAATCTTAAGATTTTAACGCGAGTAATTCGCAAATTTGATTCATGTGAATTGCTATCTGTCTAAAGAAATGAGAGGCATTATGATTTATTATTATATATATTTCAAAGTTAACAATTAAACCGAGTTCAATTTTTTTTTCTGAAAAGTAAAAAATAACTGAACGGGGGTTTTCATTTACTATAAATACCGAATTAGATATTTGCAAAGTATAAATACATCACAAATAATATTTTAAATATAATTAGAGTTCTTACCTTGTCATATTTACCTATAAGATATTACATATTATCTTGAAGGAGTGTCAGCTGGCATCGACTTCGAAAATATTTGATTAGATATTTATAGTAAACTAGCGACTCACCGTTATGTTTTATCGTTTAGTATAGATTTCTCAGAGATGAGATATTTTCCCGCAGTAAAAAGTATCCGATCCGGTGAATCCGAGTCATATTTCAACAAGGATCATTGTTTTTTTTTCATTTAATTTTTTACATTTTTCTTTGATTTTTTAACAAAACTATGACTAAATTTTGTAAATATCAACTTGATTTTTTGAAATTATATTTTTAACTAATGAAAAAACAAGATTAGACTATGAATGAATTTCATTTCTTTCTGTAATTACCTTAAAATAAATAAAAACAGATAAAATCAACAAATTTAACTCCAAAATCGATCATAAAATAAAAAAATATCGATAAATTTGAAAAAATAATAACATAAATAGATTCTACGGCAAAAAAATACAAAAGCTTTAGTATACGTAACGTAAATTCCAACTTTTATAATTTTTTCACGACTCGTAAAAATGCCAAGTTGGAATGTTTACGGCCACATTGTATAAAAAATAAGCGTCAAATTAAAGACTTAAGGATACTATCTTTTTCGTTTTTTCCCGAAAAATACTTTGGTGTAATCAGTTTATAAAAATTTGGTCAATAAAGTATACTTATTCAATGATAATTGAAAAAAGTGTAGTTTACAAAGTAAAAATTATCGATTTCTCCAATTTTTAAAATTTTTAAGAGTGTTGTTACAGGACGACTATACAATGTTTTTATTTTTTTTAAAGTAGAGTTCAAGACGAAATGAATGAGTCTTATTTGAAAATTGAACGAAATCTTTTTTAAATGTAAACGTCCACTTGAAGTTAGGGGTGATTTTCAGCCTCTCGAGACCGTAAAATATACTTCTCTCGGAAATGGCTAAACATTTCAATTTCATTTTTTCTTTCTTTATTATATATATTTCGAAGATTTCCCTTAGTTACATGTAAATCAAAAGATTATTCTCGAAATTAAAAACCAAGAAAGAGTTAAAAACCGAGTTTTCTGCAAATATCTCGAAAACTTTGAGGTTATTGTAAAAAGTGTTATTTATAAAGGTTGTAGATTTTTAATAGACCTACAAATTTTCTAGATAGAACGCCACAGTAAGCCGGAAATTGGAAAAAAAAACTAGTTTTCAACGCTTTGCGTCCCCCCATTTCTCGAGGGTAGCTAACTGTACCTATTGTAACATGAGGTAATAGGATTTGTATCGAGTATATATAAATATATATATCGGGGTCGCCAATATGTGGCGGACGTGAGGATAAAATAATAAGGCTTTAATATTAAGCGTTTATTGAAGTGCGTATTGCACTTACGAGACCAAGTGAGAGACTGTGTACAATCAATACTCTTATACCATCTATAATCTAATGTAATATCTATAATTATATATACTCGTTACAAATCTTATTACCTCATGTTAAAATAGATACACTAACATTTTAAAATCATAAAACTTGAGTTTTTCAATATTTTCCCAAACGGGATTCCGATTTGACTAAAAGTCATTTTCCCTTTACGATACGTTTAAGTACATATAAGGATAGGTTTTATTTTGAAAAAAATATTTTAAATATCGACATACGAGTATATAGGTAAAATAGTTACGTGTAGAAAAATTTTCAGTCGGTTTTAATTTATAAAATCCATTTCATCATTTTCTTTTAATTTATACAGCATGTGAATATGGCAAATACAAGTGAGTGCTATTGTATGAACAGTTGTACCGCTAGTAAACAGTGAATCATGCGTGAGGAAAACAGAAGTAGTTCTTCTTATATTATATATATATATATATATATATATATATATATATATATATATATATATATATATATATATATATTATATATATATATATATAGTAGGTATATCATACCTAACATCTCAGGTATAAAATAAAATATGTATATTATACGTCTTATTGACGATTGCATTTAAATCGTGTGCCACCGAAATTAAAAATAATTAAATAATAATTTGACAAAGCAATTTTAAAGAAAAATAATTGTAACTGATAATTCAAATGTTGCTACTATATGTTTATTAATATTTATAACTCATAATTTATTCTAATATTAGTATCTAGTGAAACAAAAGAATACATGAGAAATATCAAAATAATTTAATCTGCGATTTGGTTAACAATTTAAATATTTTACTACTAATTGTATTCAGCCCATTGGGCCTCTCTTCAATACGAGGGGGTCAGGCCATACGACCAACGCTGGCCAAGTGCGGGTTGGCGGACTTCACATGTCTTTTGAAAACTTGCTAAGTTCTCTCAGACAAGCAGGTTTGCTCACGATATTTTCCTTCACCGTAAGACAAGTGGTAATCATGTTGGAAATGATTTACACATGAAAATATCAGAGGTACAAGACCCAGGCTTTGAACTCGCGGCACTCGGTTTTACAAGCAAGCGCGTTTCTACTAAACTACTACTGCCCACTATTTACTAATAATTACTTACTTCACTAATAAGGCGGTGACCAAAAGTAGCCTATATTATTCTTTTTTTGCACCGCTACCTTATATGTTATGTAAAATAAATGACAACTCACTGTAATTTCTACATACTTGCCACTACTATTGACATAACATGACATGATCGATATACTTGATTGTGAGGGGACTTCCTAAGGTTTTAATTAATATGTCGTTAACCCTATTAGTATGTCGTGTGACCCTATCAGTTTTTACAACAAATATCCTATCAAGATGAGTAACGGGTTTTGCACTTCTCTGTATTAACCAACTCGGGATAAAAATTATCTATTTATCAGTGCAGGGTTCAAGTATATCAGCTGGGTTCAAATCAGCTATAAGTGACGTTGGGCATTTCAATAAGACATGTGCCATACTGCACTAAGTAGACTGCCGATTAAGTTAATATTAGTCTAACATATTACTTTTCTTTCGTGTTTAATATTATGAACATTATAGGAAACGCTACAAGAAAAGCAAAAGTATTTCTTTGTATTCGTTTTTTTTTATTCTTCGTAACGCAAAATTATTATAAAATAACAATATAAAGTTAAAGACAGTATAAAATATTATTATAAATATCAAATTTTCTTAAACAAAGTATTTAATAGATTTGATTGACAACATACATATACTTATATGTAGAAAACATTTTAACATTACGATGAATTAGATATCGATGCTGTCAAAAGTAGACACATGTCTATTATTATCGCATAAATAATACGAGTATTAAGATCGAATAGTTTTTCTAGCCAAGGAGCTTAAACAAGATGTCGATTAGAAGGTATAATCGTAGAAAAATAGATATTTTAAAAATTATTTTGAAAAGACAAAAAACGTTATGTCATAGACTCCAAATATATTGTTTTTATAAAAAAATTTTGAAGTTATACTCTTTTGGCACGTTTGGAAAATAATATGAGCGTAAAATTTTTACGATGCGCGCGCACACCGACAGCCAAAAAGCGACATGATGAAGTTAGCTGCATTTCTTTTACAAGCAGAGAGTTGTGTTACGGGATGAAATCTTTAGCTATTTTTGTTCTGTTACGCCAAAGTAGTATAACTTCTTACGTGCGTGCATAAATACACACACACATTTATTAATTTTATTATTTATATTTTTAACGAGAGTAGTATGACATCTTGCCTTAACCCCAAGTCCCATTTCTTTAGTCTATTACAATTATCTCGTCATGAATACTAATTCGATCTGAGATTAGATTAGGCCATCTATTTTAACAACGCAACTACTCACCTATTTAATAGACATATTACACATTGTAGCTAAGATATCATGTAATCTTGTTCGTTATTTATTTATTCAGCTAAGGATTGCTTCTTATTATTACACCCAAATATCGTATTCATTTACCTTTGTTGATCTCCACTTAAGCACATACTTAGGTATTCTATTTATAATTTATAACACAATTTGTACATTTGTAATACACAATATTATTCGCTTGTTTCGTTATATTTCATAATATTATTTAGTTTTTGAATTTAACTTTATATAAGTATAATTTCTTGGCCTAATAGTTCAAATTAAAACAATTTGTTACTATTTTACAATTTTGAAATCGAACGATCGTTATATGTTGATTTATTATGCCTGTCCTAAAAGCTTATAGAATGGGGTAATCAGGAAGCAATATCTATGAAGAGCGATCGTTTTCCTGTTCTCTATCTACATATATTTAGCTATAATATAAAATACAGGAAGATACTTAAAGTAAGATATGAATAGTTAGATGACTATTACAGACACGTGGATTAATGTCATTTATAAGTTACTGTTTATGATAAAACATATATCATTTAATCTTTATCAAAATCAAATCTTATATGTACATAACATATATGTATAATAAAGTATCTATGATTAATAAATCTTGTATTTTAATCTAGATCAAACAATACTAATATACATATTTCCAACATATCTATATGAGACTAGTGACTCCCACTCGCTTCGCTTCGTTTGTCCATAGACAAAAACAAATCTATCCCACGGGAACCATACATTTTTTCAGGATAAAAAGTTACCTATGTCCTATTCCAAACTATAATTTATCTCTGTGCCAAATTTCATCCAGATCCGTTCAGCCGTTCTGTTGGGAAAGAGTATCAAACA